CAAGAATATCAATTTTTGCAGGTTTGCAGGGCATGAGTCGACCATAGGATCGGCGCATGCATCAGTGCATTTTTCCACTGGTCAGCGCATGAAGGGTTGAGTCGACCATAGGGTCGGCACATGAAGGAAATATTTTTCAACGGGTCAGCGCATGCCGACTGTATGGTCGACGCATACTGATACATTTTGCAGATTTCCAAAAAAACGCAGGCTATGCGTCGATGCACAGACCTGCTGCGGTCGACCGTTCGCGCGGAAATACAGTTTTTAAGTGATTCCCTCTATTATTTGAAAAGCTGTTATGTCTTTGGTTGGTCTGGTACTATATATGCAAGTTCAACCACTTATGTCATTTTAACATTTGATAAAAACTGATTCATGTGTTCAAGAATAAGAAAGAGTGAAATAGGTGTCCAAGATTCTTCATCTTCATCTTCAACATCTCACAACACATCAATTACACACAACCATTTTTGAAGTGCATTGTGAGTGATTAAAGGTGATAAGGTTCGAAGCTTAGATTGGGTAATCTAGTTCGGGTTGAAGCTTGTGACAGGTTCTTTCTTGAATAAAACCATTAGGGTTTTATCCTCCAAGATTGGTTTGAATTTTGGGGGTTTTTGGACGAGATTTTTCATCAAGGGTCAACTGAGTGAAGGTGATTGTGAAGAGGTGTTCTTCAATAGTCTAGTAGCGGATTCAGTGATATTGAGGGGAAGATCTCGGGTTCGATTCGTTGCAGTTGAGATCAGCCGGAGCCGAAGGTTTGAACAACTAAGGGTTATTCAATAAGGTGGCTGGAATCGGAGGTCTATCAACAACGATCGGAGGACTTAATTCATCTTGAATCAAGGGGCAAGGAGTGAAAGCAACATTCAACGTCTTGAGATTTCTATTGTATATTTGTTGTTCAATCCTTGTATAAACTGTTACATTCAACAGGTGATATCTATTAAATCTATCTCAATTCTAGTTTTAGAATTGAGGGCAGACGTACCCCGAAGCGAGGACGACGGGCGAACTGCCTCACCAAATACTTGTCTTCTCTATTTTTTCAGCATTTTCGTTTTAGCTTAAAAATAAGTGATTTTTGTATAAGCACTATTGGCAAACTATGATATCAATTGAGTAAGAGGTTAAAACTCTGTTTTTGAATCAAAAGTACAATAAGACATTTTACTAGGCTAGTTGGAATCACTTACTCAACATAAATATCACTTGGAGTGTTTTGCACACCAAGTGTTTGACAAATTGCATAAACCAAAATTATCTTACTTGTGTATCTAATTTTGGTTTGCTCTTTAAAGCATTGGAACTAGGAATCCTAACAAGTGAATTAGATCATTGATAAGTGTGATTAGTGTTGTGATTCTCCTTTCCATATTGTCATTAATCCAAAGGCTTATCGCATATCCGATTTTCCAATAACCGTTCGTTTTAGACTATATTTTCCTCGGCCGCTTCCGCACTTAAAACAAATTTTCAAAACCAATTTTTAAATTGGTAGCGCCGACTCAAATTTTAATTGGGATCTATTCAACCCCCCCCCCCTTCTAGATCCGTGCCATAGTCTAACATCTTCATCTAGAGAACCATTAAAAAAATGTTTATTTCACATCTAAGTGAAATGTGGATCAGTCTTATTTGCATGTCAAGGCTACCGCCAATCGAACAGTCTTCAATCTTGCTAATGGTGCATATACTTCAAAATAGTCGAATCTTGCTCTCTGAAGAAATCCTCGAGATATTAATTTTGCCTTATGTCTTTCTATCGACCTGTCATCATTATGTTTCAACTTGAACACCCTCTTCATTTCGATAGCCTTTGTATGTGTTGCCAATTCGACTAACTCCCATGTGTTGTTTCTTTTAATTTGCTTATAACTCTTCGACCATAGTTGACTTCCATTATTTATTCTTTAAAGCTTCGCTATAGTTGATTGGTTCATCACCTACAAGTAAAGCAAAACGAACCAAATCTCCATCTGGTGTGAATTCATCATCGCCAACCACTTCACAATCTTGAAACCTTGTTGGGAGTATTTTGGTTCTTTGAGGTCTTCAGCTTGTGCTAGTCACACCCTCTCGATTGTCGCTTCGACTTCGACAGTGACTGGAACATTATTGACTGGAATTTCTTCGTGTTCACTACTTTCTTCGTCAACTTCATAGCCCATCAATGACTTGTTAGTCGCATCACCTGAATTCCAATCCCAAGCAGAATTCTCATCAATCACAATGTCTCGACTCATCATGATCTTATCATTGATTGGATTGAATAACACGTATGCTCCAGTTTTTTGATATCCTATTAGAATCATAGGTTCACTTTTACCATCAAGTTTCCTTCTTCTTGCATCAGGAACATGCTTGTAGAAAATATAGCAAAAACCCTTCAGATGATTGATGGTCGTTTTCCACTCCAAACTTCTTCTGAAACCTTATTTTTCAGCTTCTTGGTAGGGCACCTGTTCATAAGATAAACAATTGTGGTGACAATTTCACCCTATAAGGACTTTGGCAAGTTCTTCGGCTTCAGCATGCATCTTGCCATATCCAATATGGTTCTAATTCTTATTTCTACTATTCCATTATGTTAAGGCGTGTAAAGAATAGTTACCTCATTATCAATATCATGTTCTGCACAGAACTCCTCAAATATCTTGGATGTGTATTTGCCACATGTTACCACGAATTTTCGACACGAGACTTTATTGTAAGGATTTAATTATATTGAAGATTGTTTGATGGCTTAGGTTTTTTTTTAATTTAGGTCAAAATGATCATTCGACCATGAAATCAGAATAAGCCTTTTTCGATGAGGCGATTCTATCGAATGATATTGATGACCTTGGTTGAATTTCCAAATAATTAGTTCAAGACTAGGATTTGTTAGTTTTTTGGACTTAGTGAAATTTAGAGTTTCCAAAGTGATCATTTCACGTGGTCGAATGAGGCACAAGCGGATAAGATCAGACGATTATTCAAAAATACGTGGAAGCTTGTCGGGAACAAAGATTGCATTGAGACGAAGACGTGGTGTAATTTGCTAAGTCGACCGTTACAGACGGTTACATTAGGACAAGAATATAAGTAATGTTTACTTGTAGTTTTAAGGGTCCACAATTATACACAAATTTCATAAACTCAAAGTATCCAAGTGTTAAGTGAGAAAAGAGTTAACTGAGAATGTATGTATTTGCGTTCTACTTTGTGAATTAAATTCTTTATTTTAATTTTGACTTTAATGTAAACCATGTTTCAAACTCATGAAGTTTTTGCATAATATCTCTTGGGATCTTTTCGAGTTTAATCCTTTGAGTGAAATCAAATTTGTTTTGTTTACCAAATTTCACAGTAAGCACAACCTTTATCTGTTTGCAGAACCTTGATCTTGTTTTCACTCTGATTTTCGACATGCATCTTGAATATCTTAAAGATTTCAAATACTTTGTCCTTTCGCTTGATCACATAGATCCATAACTTTCGACTATACTCACCAATAAATGAGACAATATACATGTTTTCATCAATGATATGATCCTCAAACAAGCCGCATACATCTGAATGTACTGCTTCTAGTGTAAAAGAGGACCTCATTAGCATAGTCGAAACAAAAGACTTTCTAGATTTCTTCCCTAGTAAGCAACATTCACAGAATTTGTCGGCCATCTCAAGACTTGGTATACCGGTTACCATATCTTGAGTAATCAGTTGATTGAGTGACTTAAATTCATATGAATAAAATATAAATGCAACAACCAACTATTATTGTGGTCGACAACTCTTTTTAGGAATTGTACATCAGTTAAATTGATCATGGTCTTATATGTCCTATTCTTCGACATGGATAATTTTAAGACTAGATTATTTTGAGTGTCGAATAGTTCCAAGGCTCAATCTTTCATAACTACTGAGAAACCTTTTTCGACGAGTTGCCTAACACTTGGCAAATTGCACTAAATTTCAGGTATGCAGAGTACAATTTTTATCATAACTTTTGTTTCTTTGCTCTTTTGAATAACTATGTTGTCAATGCCTTCTGCTTGCAACGGGTAATTATCAACAAGTTTGACCTTGCTTTTCTTTGACTTGTCAAAATCTGCTAACCATACTTTTTGACCAGTCATGTGACTCGAGCAACCTGTGTTAATATAGTAGAGAAATGACAATAGAAATGCGTTGATACATAAGAGAAACTCAGATCTCCATTGCTTACTTATGAAGATACAAATACACTTAGATAAGAAAACTTCAGTAATAAGTTGGAAGCGCCAAAAGAATTATGAAACTATAAATGGACGTGTGTGTACATCTGATCTTAGTGATAAACATAGATAATTCCTACTACCAAATTATTCTCAATCCTATGAACTAAATCACCCTTTCCCTTCTCATATTATCAGTAGCCTCAATCTTCTCTTCATGTTATTCCCAGTAGTCTTTTGTTATTTATTCAACCATACTAGATATAAAAACAGTTCCACCTCTGGTAGTCACGGTTGTGTGTCTGAGTTTTTAGTGGTTATTACCACTTCGTCTATAGACCAAACCACAAAAACAGTTCCACCACATATTTGAACTTCAACTAAAATAGTCCTGCCATATTTCAAAAGCATAACAAAAAGGAAGCTAAGAAATCAATGGCAGTGAATAACTGCTGCCAAACTTGGCAAACCAGAATAGCCCGAGAATACAAGATACACAATAACAGAACCGAACCAATTTCCTTTTCATTGATTCACACCATTACAAATTTAACATAATTTTTTTTCAAGATCCAATAATTATATCATAACTTTACAACCTGGAATTTGAACCAGTCCCTTGAGGTTATAACTTATAATCATTACCGTTACACTATTTCCATGATCGTGATGTTGTAATCTAATAGGAGCGAGATTTCTCTAGAATCCCTAAAAATGTGAAAACCCTAAAAATAATAATTATGATGTGAATGATAATCTAACCGGAGCTTTGTGAAGACGAGTTTCGGGATGTTAGAACGGTTGTCTGAACCAACCGAGGGATTTTTGAGCTTGAATAACAATTTGGGAAAGACCTGTAAAGAGGGAGAGGTTAGTTAGTTGGTAAAAGAGAAATTAAAGAGAGAAAAAAAGGTTGAGAGTGGAAATTGATTGACCTTGTCTAACAGTTTGCTTGTTGTTACGGATATCGTGGACGGTAGCGGAGATTTTCCAGTATAAAGGGCGACCGATGTAGAAGAGAAGGAGGAGCAGTAGAGTCACCAACATGATACGGAATACCATTCTTGATTTTGGTGAAGCCATTTGCTTTCCCTTCTTCTCTGATAGAAAATCCCCGACTCGCTTTGTATGTGTCTAATTTGTAATACCTTTTTTATTAAGGGTAGCTTGCTATTCATGACACCAAAGGATAAAGATGCTCAAAACCATGTTTCTACTTGTAGTAGACTAGTGTGTTGTGTTTGGTTCTAGTTCTACCACCAATAAATTTAGCTTTTGATCATTAAAATAAGTTATAGGTTTAAATGTACTTTTCCTCTTCACTATTTTTTTTCTTTTAATTTAGTCCTCATTTTAAAATTTAGTTTTGGTTCTCCTTGTTTCACAATTTTTAAGATTTTTTTTCCTTCTATTTTTTCATGTGTCGGTAAAATAAAATTGTTGAGTAGGATAAAAATAAAATAATAAGTATTGATCAATATTCATATTATATATTTTGGAACCGCTAAAGTTTCAAAAATAAGAAAATTTATTTGTTGTTTTAAAGTCAAGTCTAATGACTATTTGACTTAAAAACAAATTCATGTACATATATTTTGTACTTTATTCTATTTTTTGGATTTATTTATGGGTTTGAGCGTTGGAGTATTAAATTTACAGATTTTTTCAGCATTCAATCTCTTTAGAGACTTACAATACCACATCAAGAGTCAACCACTCAAGTACACTTAATTATGGTTCTGATCTAAAAAAGTGATTGTGTATGATTTGAAAGCTAGTTGAATATAGTAGAAAGTTAAGATGGAGAAGATAATCTTTGTTGTCACATTGAAAATCCCTTTAAATCTTCTGACACCACTTCCGATTCCTGTTGTTGATAAGGTAGTAGGAAAATCATCGTGTAAATACGAGTTTCCACAACTAAAGTTCATTTGATCGATGTAACAGAACGAGAAATAAAGAGATGACGAAATGGGGTCAAAGATTCTAAAATCACTAAAAATCAACAAGATCGTCAGCTTAACATCCTTGAAAGTCATGACCTCCACCACAATGGAAACTACATGTGGCAGCGAAAACTTTGGTGATTTGACACGTTTTAGAATGTTTGGGGACGAATGACTACGAATACATAATTTGGGACGACGTGAAAGGCCAACACCATCGAGCGTTCATCAATCTAATTACTTATCGGTGCGAGATTATAGATCTGCTGAGGTCGGTCAAGGAACAAACTGATATAAGAACTGTAAATGTGCGCTTCGTCACTATCCTCTTTAGGAAGACGTCATTGATATTATAAATCTTTCAGGGTTCGAGATCAGCTCATGATAAAATCTCATAGTTTATGGGTTAGCCCGCGATAAAACTAAGTTTCAGTTAAAGCTCAGCAGGATGGTAAAAGCTTATTTCGATTTGAGATCATCCATATGGTAAAATCTCACAGGTTTTTTGTTAGCCCGGTATAAAACAAAATTTTGGTTCGAGAGCTCATCTAAAATCTCGCAGGTTTTTTGTTAGCCCGGTATAAAACAAAATTTTGGTTCGAGAGCTCATCTTGGTGTTAAAAGCTCCCAAAGTTTGTTTGAAGCTTGAAGACTAATTGCTCCAAGTTTCTTGTGGAAAAAAGACTAACTGATTTAATTCTCCATTTAGAAGAAAGACTCGCCGCTTTTCTCATATCTTTGATGTTTGTTTGAAAGTTGGTCACAAATTTTATTTTTTTTCTTGTATAAGAGGATTTGAGAGTTCAACCTACTAAAATCTCTTAAGTTTATTGGATACTCTCGAGATCAATTCTTGGGAAGAATAGTAGGTTTTTTTCTTTGTTTCAACCGAACCTCTATAATTTCGGGTGTCTTCTCTCTTCCCTTAACTCTTTATAATTTCGTTTTTTATCTTCCGCAATTTTATTTTCTAGTGCATAACTCTAAAACTTTTCTAAAATATTTTATAACTCTGATTCTAACTCGGAAAGTTTTTCAAAATCTTTTTTTGAAACACAAAATTTGAAGTTGCATGTCTCTCTAATAGAATAAAGGGGATAACCCCAATACGGTTTTGTTTCGTTATTACTATTTATTGAGTCTTCTCTTCAATTACACATCTTTGGATTAAGTTTTGAATCCAATCGTTTTAGCATGTATAATTCAAGTATTTGCATTTGAGTATGATCATTATGTTTTAAGTCAATTAGTTGAGTTAATAGAATAAGAACCATATTTGATGTTGGTTCAAGTTATGTGGCAAGTGGAATCTCAAATAATTTTGAAAAACTTGAAAATTGAGATTTCTTATGTGTAACTCGAATCACTCACAAGTTATGACTCTAATCAAATCAAACAGAGGAAACATGAAGAATTTTGCATCTGTGACTCGAATCACAATTGTAACTTGACTTGAATCATGCAACATTGTGACTCGAATCACTAGTTGTATACCACCTTTAAATATTTTTCAAAGCTTTGAAATATTAGAAATCATATTGGACCATCTTAGCTAACAAATGTCTAAGAGTTAAAAATTGGAGGTTTAATCCAATTCTTAAATCAAAATATGGGAGCTTTCATGAATTTCAGAAAAATCAATAAAGAAGGAGATCATAAAGAAATTGAACAAACTAGCTCAATTACTTAAAGATGAAGAAACAAAAACCGAATAATCATCAACTTCGTCATACTCCTATCAAGCGACTCCGGTGGAATCCTTTGCAAGAACATGCCTAGTAGTTAAACGATCTTCGAAAGATTCAACATCAATTGAAGGAACCTCGTTTTGAGACACTGTGAAGAAGTATTTTCAATATTTGAGAGAAGAAAAGGAGGAGATGAATCAACCTCAGGGAGAAATATAAGAGAACCTTCCTCCAACAATGAATATGAAGTTTTCTTAAAGGCATCCTACGAGGAAGACATTGTTAAGGAAACTAAACCACCTTACAAATAATTTTTTAAAATGATTGGTCAGTTAGAGAAAGAAAATGATAAACTTAGGGAACACAACTTAGATATTAAGGAGTCTTTAAGATATCGTGAAGAAATCAACAAATTGTTCAAGATTGAAATAACTAAACTTAGAAATTCAAGAGAAACATGTGAGAGATGTGTCTCCATGATAAAGGAAGTCGCTTATTTACATGAAACCTAGGTAATTGTACCCAAGGGAAATAAAAGATTGACTTGATCCTATTAAGTCAAAGATCTTCCTTAAATAGAAATGGACTAGGATTCAAGAAGAATATAAAACCCAGTAAAGACATATATTATAAAAATACTCGTCTAGGTTATAAATCACACACTACAAAAGAGTTGTCCATTTAGATCCTTTTTGTTTTTAAGAATTGCAAAGATCTAAAGGTAATAACCTTATATCTTTTAGAACTAATTCACCTGGGCCCAAGAAGATGTGGGCACTAAAGGCGAAACCTTAGTGTTTGACAGGTGTGACTTGCAACTCAAAAGCTTAATGAATATTAATGGAGTTATGTTAAGTAAAAGTATACCTCCAAGTATATTGTGTATATGAAGTCTCTGATCTAAGATTATACAATGATGGAAACTATCAATTGTAATGATCAAAGGAAGTGTTTTTGATAATATCTCAAGGTTTATGATCCTTAGTGATCAGTTGAATGGATATGTCTGCAATGGACTTGTTCATCTCGTTTTCTATACTGACTCTCACATCCAACGATATGTAGAGAAGGACACATCATAATATGTTTGGTGTTTCCCTTTAAGGGAAGTCTTTTTGTCAACCCTTTTGATATGAAAGGTAGTACATTATTTTAAGTTTGAAATGATCAGAAAACTCTGATTAATCCTTAAAAACAATGGTTTTATTTTTTGCTCATCTTGATAAAATATTTCCACTAACTAAAAAGACGAGTTTCTAAATGTTTTATAGAAAGGAGGTACAATAAGGCTAAATAGGGGTGCATAAAAGCAATAAAATCCAGCACAATGCCCAAATGCACCAAGGAGGCTGAACAACGAAAACCCAATAAATTGGCACATAACGAAAATTAATTGGAAAAGTTTGGCGCACTTATTTTAAGATCAAATCCAAGCAAAAATGGTACTCCAAGTTAATCAAATCTCAGCATTAATAAGGTTAACTCATAGTCCTGTAATATTTGATGAGCCAAACGATTATAGCCATTAGCCATTTGATTGGCACTCCTAATTTGGAATTACTTCACATTTATTTTCAATCAGCATAATCTCAATTGATTACTTGCCAGAAATACAAGAGAAAATAGGTATGTTCTCTCACTATTTCTTGCATCTCAAAATTCATGTCTTCTAGTTTCTCTCTCGTGTGAACTCTCTTGCCGTAAGCATAACCATGGCCTCCTCAAGCCAAAAATTTAGAGAAACACCAAGAAGGAATGTGTTCAGTATAGGAGTATTAAATCAAATAAAGAAGAGAATATGGCAATTCTAGAAAATAATGTAATTCAACCTTGGTGCATGGAACCAAGCCTTTTGAAAAGATACAAACCTTACCATCAAGCCTCTCTCAAAGATTTCTTCATCCAAATAACAGATAGATCTTCCTAGATCTAGTAAGACAGTTTCATCTAAACCAAGACTTATAGGAAACTCTCTAAGATCATTTGTAAGGGGAGTGGAAATTGACCTTCATAAATACCACTTTAGGAGAATCTTTGAGTTTCATTTTATAGGAATATCCTAAACCCTTGATAGACCTATAGACATTAGAAATTTCAAAAATCTACTGCCTTTAATACCTTTGTCATCAACCCTACGGAAAATAAGAAAGTCCCCTTCAAATTTATCCACTTGAAACCAAATGTTAAAATCCTTCTCTACCTTTTGACTAGGATCGTATTTTCGAGGAATATAAACCATAGTTGTGTTTTTAAGGAAGATATATTGCACTTATGGCTCTTGACCCAATAAATTCCAACCAATTAGGTGGAAGGGATTTTTAATCACATGATTCGATGTAAAGAGATCCCGTCAACAAGACTTTCCTATGGACTAATCATCCCAAGGCTCCTAGATACCTTCAACATTAACACGTAGGATGAAGCCGAAGAAACAAACAACCATATGATT